AGAGGAGGGGTAGAGAGGAGGAGGAGGGAGAGAGAAAGATGGGGAGGGCGAGACAGACTGATGAGGGGGGAGGGAGGGGGAGGAGAGAGTTAGAAGAAGGGATGGAAAGAAAGGTAAGAGGATGAGGACGAAGGGAGAGGAAGAGAGGAGAGAGTGAGAAAAGAAAGCAGAGAGACAGAAGAGAGAAAAGCAGGGCCCAGAGGTGCTTCTGGGTCCCACCCCATCGGTCTGAGAGTCTGTCTGGATCCTGAGAATAATAGCGGCTGCCCAAATTCCCCCCCCTCCTCCCCAACTCTTTTGTCTGGGCTCCTCTGGCTGGATCCCCCCCATCTAAAGGGAGGCCTGTCAGGATGTCATTCAGGGCTTTTGGCAGGGACGGGGCTGGGGGCAGGCATCTTTTCTTTAATAAAGCAAATAGAGACATTTCCCTGTGAAAAACCAGCTGCCGACTAGTCAGGATGGACCAACAGCCCCTGAACCAGGACCGCAGTGAGAGACAAAGGAGAACAGTGAATGATCACCCAGGTCCTAACCTGGAGATGAACACTCACGGCAGACAAACTCGAGGTTAGGACTCCCACACCAAATGCCTGGGAAGACACATGTCCTGCCATCCATCCCAGAAAAGGTTGGGGCTCCCTGAAGTTTAACAAGGGGGCAAGTTCAGGCAGAGAGAAAGAAATATATGTCAAGGCTGGTAAAGTCTATGAACTTATTAACAAGAAGGCATGGTAAAGTCTGAAAGCAGAAATTCCCTTCAGCGAGGATTTCTGTAAATTTTCATGAAGGAGGAAATCACAACAGGTTATTAGAGGGAAAAAGAAGTGTTTCAGATACAACCCTAACCTTTCAAGACGACATGACAGTGAAGTGATTCCACCGCAGGTCTCTTGTTGCCACTTGTCAGAATTCTGAAGAAATCTGGCCAGGGTGATTCCCCAGGGTGATTCCAGGGAGGAGCCGCCCCCTTCCTTCCCAAAGTGAATGCTCACCGGATGCGAAGGGAACCCAAAGAGGCATCGCCAGCTCCAAACCACTGCCTGAATTTCACAAAATCCAACTGCCTCCTGAACCTCCCCTCCTGGGTTGCCACGGACACTTCCACGCCTTAGCAGGTAATTCAGTGCCTTACTTTCCCAGACCAGAAACGCTACCCCCAGGCTCCCGATCTCAGTGATTGGCATTCGTCTCCTAGCCAGGTACCAGAATCACACTTGGCATTCCACACATCAAATTAGTCGCAAAGCCCTGCTGATTCGGCCTCTGTAATATCAAATTGTCTCTCCCTCTCCATGCTTTGATCCTCGCTCACCTGGACTGCGCCAGGATGAACACAACCAGCATCTTAACAATCTGCCTGCAGCTCAAAAAGGTGATGCAACTAGTCCATGGTTTCTACAAGTGAGCAGCAGTGCTGGGACGGATTGCAAAAGAATCTGTATGGCTCGATGCCATTTTTTAACCATGCAAAGCAGTAGTAGTCAATGTTATGCATATCAACAATATTTTTACATATGGGCATTTGGAGTTAACTACAAAAATATGCATGGGGATGACAGATACAATTTCCAGCTATTGATCACTGAGGAGGGAAGGGAGGGTTTGGGGAGGCGGATGGAGCTTTCATGATATTTGAACTATATCATTTTTCTCTTAAGAAAACTACTGGACAATATCAACATCTGTACCTCTGGGTGGTGGGCATATTTGATATATTTCACAATTGAAATAGAAAAATTAAAATACATGCCATCAAGAAAGAACAGAA